GAGATACCACCTTACACCAGTTAGAATGGCCAAAATTAGCAAGACAGGAAACAACATGTGTTGGAGGGGATGTGGAGAAAGGGGAACCCTTTTACTCTGTTGGTGGGAAAGCAAGTCGGTGCATCCACTTTGGAAAACAGTGTGGATATTCCTCAAGAAATTAAAAATAGAGCTTCCCTATGACCCTGCAATTGCACTACTGGGTATTTACCCCAAAGATACAGATGGAGTGAAAAGAAGGGCCATCTGTACCCCAATGTTTATAGTAGCAATGGCCACAGTTGCCAAACTGTGGAAAGAACCAAGATGCCCTTCAACGGACGAATAGATAAGGAAGATGTGGTCCATCTACGCTATGGAGTATTATGCCTCCATCAGAAAGGATGAATACCCAACTTTTGTAGCAATATGGACAGGACTGGAAGAGATTATGCTGAGTGAAATAAGTCAAGCAGAGAGTCAATTATCATATGGTTTCACTTATTTGTGGAGCATAACAAATAGAATGGAAGACAAGGGGAGATGGAGAGGAGAAAGGAGTTGAGGGAAATTGGAAGGGGAGGTGAACCATGAGAGACTATGGAGTCTGAAAAACAATCTGAGGGTTTTGAAGGGGCAGTGGGTGGGAGGTTGGGGGAACCAGGTGGTGGGTATTAGAGAGGGCACTGATTGCATGGAGTACTGGGTGTGGTGCAAAAACAATGAATACTGTTACACTGAAAAGAAATTTTAAAAAAAGTTAAGAGTCTTTGAATGGGGAGATTATCCTGGAATATCTGGATGGGCTCACAGTAAATTCAAGAGTCCTCCTTTATAGGAAGGATACATTAGATTTAGAGTCAGTGAAACCTCTAAGGATGCAAACAGAGATCAAAGATGCTACACTGCTGGCTTTGTAGATTGAGGAAGGGAGTATGAGCCAAGGGATGTAGGAGTCCTCTAAAAGCTAGAAAAGACAAGGAATTGGATCCTCTCCTAGAACCTCCAGGAGGAACAGAGATCTGCAGAAACATTTTACACTTTTGACCTCCAGAACTGCAAAATTGCAAATTTGTTTTTTTTCAGCCACTAATTTTGTGATAGTTTATTACATCAGCAGAAGGAAAGCCATACACAGAGCATAAATGTATCTCATTCATAGGAAATATCTAACAAATAAGAGCCACTGTTGAGGTGAATTTATTCTATTGTCATATTTTCAGTGAAAATACTAGAAGTGACCGGTAGGGGATATGCTCATCTGGATACATTGGCAGCAATTCTTGTGGGTCTTTTATACTGTTCTTCCCTGGGATTGTACCACCCACCCCAGGCATTGTCCCGGCTTTGTCCCCAAGCATCCACTGGCATTGCTTTCACTTGGGCATACATTGCTATAGCGACCCCCTGGTGGTAAGTACTGGGGGTAAGCTAGTTAGGGAAATGGTGGGGTTATTCCATGCTACTCTTGTTGCTGTACACTAATTCAACTTTTAGTTGCCTGTGGGCCCTGTTCTGGGCCCAACCAGCACCTCCCCAGGGCACAGAGTACTCTTGGGCCAGTACCTCCATTTGCAATGACTCTTGTACAGATTGTGGGCCATGGCTTACTCAAACAAGTGAGTCAGACCCCACCTGCTCTCCCTCACTAAGGGACTCCATGCTATTTCTGGCTTACTAATGATTCCTTTGAGTCATTTCACAGTGCAGGTATGGACTTATTTTACAGTTTTCAAGAATTAAGGTCTTTCAAAGAAGTCTATACTCCTACCATAGTGAAACAAAAACCATGTGATTTCTTTTGGGTTTATTGGCTGGGTTTTAGGAAGAAATATCTTTACTGCAAATTAATCTCAAGCATAGGGACATGAATAAAGATTAATGTTGCAAACACCTTTAGAACCCATGCCCCCCTACCCCAAATTTAAAAATTAAGTCCTATTTTTGCCTATCCTTTACATTACAGATAATGAAAACCCTCTGTTTACCTCTTCCCAGACCCACATGGCTCTTTCTTCCTCAGTGGGGTCCCACTATCATGAATTCAGTAGTTTTTTCCTTCAAATTTTTATTTAAATTCTAGTTAGTTAGCACATAGTGTAATATTGGAGTTTCAGGAATAGAATTTAGTGATTCATGACTTACATATAATGCACAGTGCTAATCATCCCAAGTGACCTCCTTAATATACCTCACTCATTTAGCCCATCCCCCACCCACCTAAATCCATCAACCCTCAGTTTCTTCACCATCCTTAAGAGTCTCTTATGGTTTGCATCCCTCTCTCTCTTTTGTCTTCCTTCCCACATGTTCATCTTTAAAGAATTTTTTTTTATTTATTTGACAGACAGATCATAAGTAGGCAGAGAGGCAGGCAGAGAGAGACAGGAGGAGGAGGCAGGCTCCCTGCTGAGCAGAGAGCCTGATGCGGGACTCGATCCCAGGACCCCGAGATCACGACCTGAGCCGAAGGCAGAGGCTTTAACCACTGAGCCACCCAGGCGCCCCCATGTTCATCTTGTTTCTTAAGTTCCACATGTTCATCTAAGTTCATCTCTAAGTTCCACATATGAGTGAAATCATGTGGTATTTGTCTCTCTGACTGACTTATCTCACATGGCATAATACACTCTAGCTCTATCCACATCTTGCAAATGGCAACATTTCATTCTTTTTGGTGGCTGAATAATATTCCATTGTATATACCACCTCTTCTTTATCCATTCATCAGTCAGTGGACATATGGGCTGTTTCCACAGTTTGGCTATTGTTCCATAGTTTGGCTATTGTTCCATAATAATGGCTATTTTTGATAGCCCTGCTGTAAATATTGTGGTGCATGTATCCCTCTGAATCTGTATTTTTGTATCCTTTGGGTAAATATCTTAGTATTGCAATTGCTGGGTCATGGGCTAGTTCTATTTTTTAACTTGTTGAGGAATCTCCATACTGTTTTCCATAGTCTCTGCACCACTTTGCATCCCCAACAATAGTGGAAGAGGGCTCCTCTTCACCAGCATCTAGCCAATATATATTGTTTCCTTTTGTTCATTTTAGCCATTTGGACAGGTGTGAGGTGGTATTTCAGTGTGATTTTTTATTTTTTTATTTAAATTCAATTTAGTTAGCATATAGTGTATTATTAGTTTCAGCGATAGAATTTAGTGATTCATCAGTTGTATATTACAGCCAGTGCTCATTACATCAAGTACCCTCCTTAATGCGCATTGCCCAGTTACCTCATCCCCCCACCCACCTCCCCTCCCGCAACCCTCAGTTTGTTTACTAGAGTTAAGAGTCTCCAATGTTTGGCTCCCTCTCAATTTTCATCTTGTTTTCTTTTCCTTTCCCTTCCTATATGTTCATTTGTTTAGTTTCTTAAATTACATATATAAGTGAAATCATGTGGTATTTGTCTTTCTCTGACTGACTTATTTTGCATGGCATAATACACTCTAGCTCCATCCACGTTGTCACAGATGGCAGCATTTCACTCTTTTTGATGTCTGAGTGATGTTCAATCGTGTATGTGTGTGTATGTGTGTCTTTTAGTTTTGTTGATTGTTTCCTTTGCTATGCAAAGCTTTTTATCTTTATGAGGTCCCACTAGTCCATTTTTGCTTTTTTTTTCCCTTGCCATTGGAAACATGTCTAGCAAGAAGTTGCTCTGGCAGAGGTCAAAGCATTGTTGCCTACTTTCTCTTCTAGGATTTTGATGGTGTCATGTCTTACATTTAGGTCTTTCATCTCTTTTTTAAAAGATTGTATTAATTTATTTATCAGAGAAAGAGAGATAGAATGAGCACAAGCAAAGGGAGTGGAAGGTAGGGGGAGAAGCAGACTCCTCGCTGAGCAAGGAGCCACACATGGGGCTGGATCCCAGACCCTAGGATCATGACCTGAGTCAAAGGCAGATGCTTAACTAATTGAGCCACCTAGGTGCCCCTGTTTTGAGTTTATTATTGTGCTTTTTATATTTATGTATAAATATGAAAATACATAAATATATATTATATAAAATATTTTTATATTTGTATGGTGTAAGAAACTGTTCCAAGTTCACGTTTCTGCATGTTGCTCTCCAGTTTTCTGAACGCTATTTGTTGAAGAAACTGTCTTTTTTCCATGGGATGTTCTTCCTGCTTTGTCAGAAATTCGTTCACCATAGAGTTGTGGTCCATTTCTGGATTTTCTATTCTCCTCAAGTGATCAATGTGTGTGTGTGTCTTTGTGCTAGTACCATACTGTTTTGATGACTACAGCTTAGTAATATAGCTTGAAGTCCAGAATCATGATGCATTGTTTTCCTCTTCTTTTTTAGTATTTCTTTAGCTATTTGAGGTCTTTTCTGGTTTCGTACAAATTTTAAGGATTGTTTGTTCTATCTCTGTGAAAAATGCTGCTGTTATTTTGATAGGGATTGCATTAAACCTGTAGATTGCTTGGGGGTAATATAGACATTTTGGCAATTTTTTTTTCTTACAATCCATGAGCTTGGAATATTTTTCCTTTTTTTTTGTTGTCTGCATGAGACATTTTTATTTGTCTGTCAAGTACAGTAACATTTCCATCTACAATGACTTAAGGTAAGAAACCGAGGGTTGAGTGAAGGAGGCACTCGGCCTTACAGGAGAGCCTGCGGGGCCCAGCTGGGCACCAAGGGAGCACGGGTGGGGCCTTAACAGGCCTTCTCCAGGAAGGCCTTGCAGCACCTCACACACTGCTGGTAGACAATCTCGAAGTCGGAATAATAGGGGTCTTCAATAATGAGTTGGTTTTGTGGATCATAGCTCCCAAGTAGCTCAATTTTAGCTTTGCAGTTTTTAATTTGATTACTTTTTCTATTCAAGTCTCTCAGATTGCTTTCATCCATACACAGTATATAATTGAATGTGGCAAAGTCTTCCTTGGTAACCTGCCAGGCAGTGTGACTCATGGGGATGCCATGCTTCTTCATGCAACTCTGCTCTCGGTAATCAGGAGGGTTTCCTATTTCATACATGGATGTCTCTGCACTGTCTACCCTCCAATGATCTGACAGCTTTTGGTCAGTTACAAGTTTTCTGAACACTGCTTCTGCAATGGGTGACGGACAGGTGTTACCCAGACACACGAACAGCACCGACTTCGGCACCGGCTCAGCCATCTTCCCGCACGCCTCCTCTTTTTTTTTTTTAATGTCCTCTTCAATTTCTTTCATGTGTATTCTATAGTTTTCAGAGTACAGATGTTTGACCTCTTTGGTTAGATTTATTCCTAAGTATCTTATTGTTTTTGGTGCAATTGTAAGTGGGATAGATTTCTTGATTTATTTTTCTTCTGCTTCATTATTATTGTACAGAAATGCAAAAGATTTCTATACATTGATTTTAAATCTTGCAACTTTGCTGAATTCATATATTAGTTCTACATATTTTTTTGTAGAATCCTTTGAGTTTTCTACATAGAGTATCATGTCCTCTGCAAATATTGAAAGTCTGAATTCTTCCTTGCCATTTTGGGTGCCTTTTTAATTCTTTTTGCTGTCTAATCGCTGAGGCTAAGACTTTCAGTATTATGTTAAATAGGAATAGTGGGAATGGATATCCCTGTCTTGTTCCTTACCATAGAGAAAAAGCTCTCAGTTTTTCCTTAATGAGGATGGTATTAGCAGTTGCTGTTTTGTATATGGTTTTTATGATGTTGAAGTAAGTTCCATCTAACCCTACTTTGTAGAGGGTTTATCAAGAAGGGTTACTGCATTTTGTCTAATACTTTTTCTCTAACTATTGAGATGATCATATGGTACTAATTCTTTCTTTTTTTTAAATATGTTGCATCATGTTGATTGATTTGCAAATATTGAACTAACTCTGTAGCTCGGGAATAAATCCCCCTTGATTGTGAATATTTCTTTTACTGTACTGTTGGATTTGCTTAGCTAGTATTTTGTTGAGAATTTTTGTATCCATGTTCATCAGGGATATTGACCTGAAATTCTCCTTTCAGTGGGGCCTTTGTCTGGTTTTAGGATCAAGGTAATGCTAACCTCATAGAAGGATTTTGGAAGTTTTCCTTCCATTTCTATTTTTTGGAACAGTTTGAGAAGAGTAGTTATTAAGTCTTCCGTAAATTTTTGGTAGAATTCCCCTGGGAAGCCATGTGGCACTGGACTTTTGTTTGTTGGGAGACTTTTGATTATTGATTTGATTTCTTTGGTGGTTATGGATTTATTCAAATTTTCTATTTCCTCCTGTTTCAGTTTTGGTAGTTTGTATGTTTCTAGGAATCTATGCATTTCTTCCAGATGGCCCAGTTTGTTGGCATGTAATTTTTCATAGTGTTCTCATGATTGTTTGTATTTCTGTGGTGTTGGTTTTGATCTCTCCTCTTTCTTTTTTATTTTATTTATTTTAGCCTTTTCTCTTTTCTTTTTGATAAGTCTGGCTAGGTGTTTATCAATTTTATTAATTCTTTCAAAAAAACCAGCTCTTAGTTTCATTAATCTGTTCTACTGGTTTTTTGTTTGTTTATTTGTTTGTTTTGTTACTATAACATTTATTTCTGCTCTAATCCTTATTATTTCCCTCTTCTGGTGCCTCTAGGTTTTATTTGCTGTTCTTTTTCTGGTTTCTTTACATGTAAGGTTAGGTTGTATATTTGATGCTTTTCTTACTTCTTGAGGTAGGCCTATATTGCAATATACTTCATTTTCATTTGCTTCTTTGTACTTTTATTTTTTTTTCTTTAATTTCCTGGCTGACCCATTCATTTTTCAGTAGGATATTCTTTAACCTCCATGTATTGGTTGCCTTTCAGTTTTTTTCTTGTGGTTAACTTCATGTTTCCAACATTGTGGTCTGAAAATATGCATGATATAATCTCAGTCTTTTTGTTTGTTGAGGCCTGATTCATGACCCACTATGAGATCTAATCTGGAGAATGCCCTATGGGCAATATTTTGGTGCTTTACAATGAAATGTTTTGAAGAGAACTGTTAAGTCCATCTGGTCCCATGTGTCATTCAAAGCCATTATTTTCTTTGTTGATTTTCTGCTTAGATGATCTGTTCATTGCTGTAAATAAGGTGTTAAAGTGTCCTACTATTATTGTATTATTATCCATGAGTTTCTTTTTGTTTGCTATTAATCATTTTATACATGTTAATCATTTTATATTATTAATCATTTTATACATGCTCCTAATTTGAGGATGTAAATATTTATAATTGTTAGATCTTTTTGAGGGATAGACCCCTTAATTATGATACAGTGACCTTCTTAATCTCTTGTTACAAACTTTGGTTTAAAATATTGTTTGTCTGATAGAAGTAAGGATACTCTGTCTTTCTTGTGATGTCCATTAGCATGATATATGGTTCTTCATTCCCTCACTTTCAGTCTGCAGGAGCCTTTAGGTCTAAAATGAGTCTCTTGGAAGCATCATATAGATAGGTTTTGCTTTTTTATCCATTCTGGCACCCTATGTGTTTTGTTTGGAGCACTTAGCCCATTTACATTAAGAATGATTATTGAAAGATATTAATTTTGTTCTATTGTGTTACCTGTAGAGTTGTTATTTATGGTGATATTCTCTGTTCCTTTCTTTGTTCCTGTTTTCATTGCTTTTGGTCTTTCTTTCCCACTGGAAGAGTCCCCATTAATATTTCTTGCAGGGCTGATTTAATGGTCATGATATCCCTTAGTTTTTGTTTGGGAATCCCTATATCTCTTCTATTCTGAATGATAACATTGCTGCATAGAATATTCTTGGCTTCAGGTGTTTTCCATTCATCATGTTGAGTATATCATGACACTCCTTTCTGACTTGCCACATTTCTGTTTAGAAGTCTACCACTAGCTTTATGAAACTTCTTCTGTCTCACTGTTTTTAAGAATTTTTTTTCTTTATAACTATATTTTGCAAATTTCATTACAATATTTCTTGGTGTTGGTCTGTTTTGTTGATTTTGATGGGAGTTCTTTGTACTTCCTGAATCTGGATGTGTGTTTCCTTCCCCAGATTAGGGAAAATTTCAGTTGTGATTTCCTCAAATAAGTATTCTGCCCTCTTTTCTCTCTCTTCTGGGACTCCTACACTATGAATGTTATTTCATTTGATGATGTCACTGAGTTCCCTAAGACTATTCTTGTGGTCCATAATTATTTCTCTCTTTTGTTCCTCCTCATTATTTTCCATATTTAGTCTTTTATATCACCCGTTCATTCCACTTCTTATTCTATTCTCTTGTTTTTGCATCCAGTTTGTTTGGAATCTCAGTTATTGTATTTTTCATTTCTGATTGATCTTTCTTTTTTAACTTTTTTATCTCTGTGCTAAGAGGTTCCCTGAATTCTTCCATTCCTTTCTCAAGCCCTGATAGTATTGTTATGATTGTTGCATTAAATTCTCCATCAGTTATGTTATTTATATGTTTCATTTAGTTCTCTGGTCATGAACTTATCTTGTTTTTTCATTTGGGCTAAATTACTCCAACTTGGCATTTTGTCTAAGTTTCTGTCTTGTTCTCCACGTTAGAAAAGTCCATTATGTTTCCTGCTACTGAGAGTAATTATTTTATGAAGAAGAAGTCAAATACTGTCCAAATCATTGCAATTCAGGGCTTGTCTCTGGTGTGTGCTGTGTGTGTAATGCCATTGTGTTTTGGTGCTCCATGCTTCATGCCATTTGTCTGCAGAGGGTCTCTTTGCCTGCAGTGGGCAGTGTTTGATCTTTGGCCAGAATGTGGTGAGTTTTAACTAGGTGTGCTCTGGTCTGCTTGTTAAATGAGACCTGGTACTATTTCCACTAGAAATGAAGACTTGCAGAACTCTGGTCAGGGGTAGAGTGTGGACAGGGGTTTCTTCTGGTCTTCTGTTGAAGGGGCCCACCATGCTAGGACTGAGTCAAACTTAACAATGAGGGGCAGTCCTGCCCAAGTGCAGGGGGTGGTTCCTGGTGTAAGCATGTTAGGCAGCCTGTGTGGCACTGTGGTGCTTCCCACAGGTGACTGTGTTTATATTGAGGGGCAGGAAAGGGATATGTGTCAGCCATCTCCTTTATACCCATGGAAGCATCTCTATGAATGCCGTGGTTCAGGAAAACCCTTCTAGAAAACCAAATAATCTCTCCCTTGTGTGTAACACACATTTTTCAAATTGCCATTTCTATACCATCTGCCTCCAGATTCTTTGCCTGTTTTCTCTCTAAGAGCAGCACAGTGAGTTTCTGGGTTCTATCCCAGCTGAGCCTGCTAAATTTTAAAACCCCAGGCTTTAGGGCTCCTGGGTAGCTCAGTTGGTTAAGCAACTGCCTTCAGCTCAGTTCATGATCCCGGAGTCCTGGGATCGAGTCCCGCATCAGGCTCCCAGCAACATGGGGAGTTTGCTTCTCCCTTTGACCGCCCCTCTCATTCTCTCTCTCAATCTGTCTCTCTCTCTCAAATAAATAAATAAAATCTTAAAAAAAAAAAAAAAAACAAACCTCCAGGCTTTAGGGATGTGGTATGGTTAGGGGTTTGTGCTCATCTTCTGGGGGAGGGGACTGCCATGCTGGGACTGAAGCAACCTTTATGAAGAAGGGCAATTGTGCCAGAGCACAGGGGGGTGGGATTTGGTGTAAGCAAGATAGGCAGCCTGTGTAGTACTGTGCTGCTTCCTGCAGATGACTCTGTGTTTATGCTGAGGGTCCAGGGACTGAAATGGCTCTGACCAACTTCTTTATCCTCAGAGAGTCATATCTCTGATTGTTGCTTCTCAGGGAACCACTCAAAGAAGAGTGATAATATTTCCACTGCGTGTCCCGGGTATTCTTCAGATCGCTGTTTCCATACCTCTGTCCCCAGGTTGTTTGCCTGCTTTCTCGCCAGGAGTAGGGCAGTGCCCTCAAAGCTATATCCCAGGGAGATAGGCAGACCATTTAAACTCCAGGCTTTAAGCCCCACTGGTTGCAAGAACAGGAAAATCAGTCCCTTTTGTTTTCCCAGCCAATGACTTTGGGGAAATTATCTCTTTGTGTGTTCTCATGTCGTTCTCTCTCCTTCAACTTTCTTTTGTGTGTGTGTATTATGTTAGTCACCATACAGTACACCATTAGTATTTGATGTAGTGTTTCATGAATCACTGTTTGCATATAACACCCAGAGCTCTATGCATGCAATCTGTGCCCTC